GGGGTGGGGTGAGTGCGCCACTGGTAGGTTCTAGATCTACTTCTCGTCTTTCCCTCTGTTGTTGTTTTGTATTTGTCTGTTTCACTCTTCCACAGCACTAAATGGCTATTAGGCTATTATCGTGTCGATATTTTTATCTTTATTCAAACAAACAAATGAACGAACCCTTCATGTCTACTGTTGTGTGTGTCTTCCACAGAGGCCAGCTGTGCTGTGTACGCTCGTGCGGTCAAGGATTACAGTAATGTCTACGACCCTGGCAGTCTTGCCTTCAAGGAAGGCGATATCATCACGGTAAGTCGATGACTACTGGTGCGCTGTGTTTGTGTGTATGGGTAGGTGGTCCAGTGTGGATGTTGGGAGAAGGATGTTTGTTTGTGTTAAGTATAGGAAGGTGTGTGGATGTGCACGCATGGGTTTCCTTTCTGTGGTACCGTGTGTCTGGCCTCGTGCGCGTGTGCGTGCTCGTGCTATTTTTGTTTGTTTGGTTGGGGTTTTTTGGGGGTGTCTTTTTTATTTCTTTTTTTTTTAATGGGGCGGGGGTGGAGGCGAGGGTGGCGTATATTTATGTATGTGCATGATATGGGGGTGAATGGTGATTATTGAAATTATGATCTAGAAGGCAAGTATTAAAACGTCATCAAAGCGATGTTGTTTCATTCTTACCATGTAAAAGAAGTCTGGAAAAAGAAAAACGCGGTTGGTTGGAGGACGTTACTCATCTTATTAGATCCTACTTACTTTCTCCCCTGTTGTTTCTGTCTGTCTTTCTCGCTCTCTCCTTGCACGGACAAGCATTTACCGAGCCGATGTGCTTTCCTTTACTCAAACAACAATAAACTGTCGGAAAGACAAAAGTGCGTGCTTGTAAAGGGCACGTTGCTCACTGACAATTCCGGAATCGTCTTGAATTCCGGAAACGTATTGATGTGCTACTCACACGCGTGCACGTGTACTGTCGCTCGTACTTCTGTGAGGCCAAAACACAACCTACGGAAAGCACTCACCTGGGAAACTATGCTGAGTCCCCGTGCCAGTGATGGGTCTTCCTTTAGTGTGAGCCGTGCCTCAAAGACCCGGGTTCGCGTGCTGCTCTAATGTCTGTGCTTTGATCTCTGTTTTCTCAGTCCGCCACCACAAAGGTCTCTGCACTCCCGTCTAGCTTTTTATTGGCTTCTGGCTTACCGGAAGTGGCCCTATGGGTTGGATGTATTTTTTTCTAAGATTACTTAGCGGGTGGTTGGAGGATGTTACTGGTGAGTCCTACTTTTTTCCTTTCCCTCCATTGTTTCTGTCTGTCTGCCTTAACTTTCCCCCGGCAATAAATGACCATTATTGTGGTGATATGTTTATCCTTGCTCAAACTAAAAAAGATTACTTCGTGTCTGTTGTTCTCAAAGGTTAGGTGGGTGGTTGGTGGGTACTCTGGTGTGGTTACTCATTCTTTCCTACCAAACATCTGTTGGCCTTATCTCTTGCGGTCCTATCGGAGACGGACGTTAAACTAGGAGGTCCCGCCCCTTAAATAACCTAATAGTGTTGATATTTAATGTTAAACCCATACCATTTCACCATTTTTTAAAATCTCTTCTTCTTTTATGTGGATATTACTGTCCAATGACACTTCTAATCTTCTGTACTTATATGACCCACTTGTGTTGCGAGTACCGTTAAACTCTTACAAGTGGGTGGCTGGCTCGTGCTCTAGTGTGATTTGCTCCTTCTTTCCTATCAAGCATCTATAATCCTCATCGTGGGTGGTTGGCGTGTGCTCTGACGTGGTTTGCTTCTTCTTTCCTTTCTATCGTCCTTATCTCCCCTCCTTTTTTTATGTTTGTTACTCTCTTGTAACACCTCTTATCTTGAGGCGCTCATATGGCCTTAAGCAGTTGCGAGCGCCGTAAAACCTCTACTAAAACAAATAATCCTCATCGCTCCTACCTCTTTTTTGTGTATTTTTCTAACTCTCTTGTTACACGTCTAAACTTCGGCACTTGTGTGACCTTATGGTTTTGCAAGTGCCGTAAAACTTCTACAAAACAAAAACTGTGAATGTGAGCAACACCTCTAATGGGAGTCAGTGTTCTCTGCCACAACTCATTGTCACCGTGTGCGGGAAGCCAATGTTAGAGGCAGTAAACATGTAAAGAGTGTTTTGTGTCTGATATTATAAATTTATCTTCCAAGGCATGTTATTTAAACATCATGTGAGAATTTCGGTGAGCTCGAAACTTTTGTGTGCTGTTCCTGTTTTTTCGTCAAGTGTAACCCCCTCCCCTCAGTAATGAGAGAGAGAGAGAGAGAGAGAGAGACAGAGACAGAGACAGAGAGACAGAGAGAAGTAAGGCAGATGAATAAAGATACAGTGTAAAAGTAGGTCCGTGTATAGATGGTATACAGAAACTGAGAGCGGAATGCAGCATTGTGAG